TACTGTCGTCAAAGACGCCATTTGAAGCTAAACGCAGACGTTTAAACGGACAAAATATGGATGAAACCTGGAATGATTAACGTTACCCTACTTTTCAAGCATAAATTTGATTTAAACAATAGGTCTATATAATATTCACATATGGGGCATATTGTATTAGCCCTAGAGTTAAAGCATGAAATACTATTTAAACCTATACCATTTTACATAACATTTACCTATTTTATCTTACAATTCTGACTTTTTTTCTTGCAAATGCAAATTTATATCTCCTAGTTCGGACTTTATAACTTGATACAACTCAACAATTGCGAGTTTGTCAATTCTGAGGGGAAAAAAACAGAAGTGTGGGATTATAAACTCATGATTCTGAGCCGAGGGAAAAAGAAAGAATGACTAGTTGATTTTTTCTTACCAGAATTGTGCGATATAATCTCGGAATTGCAAGAAAAAAAGTCAGAATTTTGAAATATAAACTCAAAATTACCTTTTTTATTCTTTTATTCCATGGCTTGCATAGACTGCTACGTTAAACCCATAGACTGTATAGGTTAAAACTGGCATTTTCTGCCACCAGATAGGCTCCGCCCACGATAAAACGCCATAGCAATTTTGGATTAAAAACTATTTTGTAAAATATTTGTTTTATATAAAATAAAAATAGTACAGTAAATTTTCTTTATAGTAATTTTGAACTTCAATTTTTTTATACTTTCAACATGTATTGACCTGCCTTCTAAATAAACATTCAGCATTTCAACAACATGACGGCATATTTTCAAACTTAAAAGTTAAAACTTAATGTTAAATGCTGCCCGTTTAAAAAAGAAAGAGGCCAGTGAATTAGCATGTGACAAAAAATATTTTTCAGTTTGAAGGGACTAAAAACAGTTGTATTTTACTTTGAATACAGGGTATTTAAAATAAATTACTATATAATAAAATTATACTTATACTTTTTAAAATAAAAGTATAAGTCATAATACAGAGTCAGCTACCTTATTTGTTACATATTTAAAGGGATTATATAATTATAAAAAAACGGAGCAATTTACTCTGTATAGTTTCCTAAGGTAATGCATCCTGTCCACTATGATACAAAACAACTATTACATAAAAAATCTTGATTAAAACATACCAAAAAAAATAATTAAATAATTAACAAAACATCATGAATCATGCTTGACACTAGGAATATATTGTGGTCAGAATGCCCACCAAATACCCAAAACATCTTTAACTTAACTTCATCAGTCTCACATGTCTGTTCTGTGTTGGATGTCACTCAGTCCTCACAGTCTGACGACTCTGTGACATAAAAATATGCTTTCATAGTCTCTCGTAATCCTTCACTGACAAGACTCTCCTGGTTAGTTCCCTTTAGCTGCCTTTGAACCATCGACCTGATGATAAACATAAAAGTTATTTCTATGGTAATACAGAACAACTAATACAAGCATTCTACTAAATTATAGTAAAAGACTAGAAAGTGTGATCCAAATAAAAACTGAACCTACCAGGACAAATCTCTCCAGTTAAGGCTGGACCTCTGGATTGCTACAGCTGTGTTGGAGTCCTGAAGTAAGCAAGGTTCAGTCAGCTGACAGTACGTACCATTAGAAGACCCTGTAAATCAACAAAATATATTTGTTGTCTCTGATTTATTCTAACATTCAAATGCTGTTTTTATCCTCATTAAAATGCAACAGGCTGTCTTTTAAAGGTGTAATAGGACTAATATTGAGTTTAAAGCACCCTTGCCATTTGAGCTTACGTGAGTAATAGTCCACCAGCTGGGTGAGAGTGGAGAAGTAGTGGCTGTGGTGGATGTAGTACCAGCCATTGTGGAGCTGATGGATTCTGTAGTGCTTTACATTGTGCACATGGCCTCCATCTTGTCGCATTGAAAGTGAGTAGGAACCTACAACCAAAGGCAATGCATTTAAAGCAACTGTAAATAATTTGTATAATTTGGACCCCCCTACAGTTAAGTGAGTGGAATTCACTGTGGTAAATATATCACTGTGGTAAATACAGTGGATGGCTGTACACGTGCATTTGGTCTATCAGAAGTCAGTATACCATCACAATGAGTTTGAAACTGATATTTCTAGGTAAAAAAAAAACATACAGTTGCTTTTAGAAATAGACATTTTTGAATACAAAAGAGGGCAATCAATAAATTACTTTTGGAGTGGGGACTAACCAGGGAATGACTGGCTTTCCCGAATTAGAAAACATCCAGAGTAGTTTGGAGGCAGCATAAGAAGTTGTTCTGCATTTCTCCTTGTGATCCTTTCAAACAGCCACCTTTATTGAAATAGACAAGACCTGGCAAAGTTATTAAAGGACACAATTACACAATTTCCTAAATCTCTTAATCAGAAGTGATCACATTGCATGATATGATTAATTCACTCCTTAATTATGATGATGACAACACATAACACACTCTCCCTGCTTATGTTTTTCTTTTTTCACCATTTTTATTGTGAGAGGATGCAGGCCGGACTAAAACCCAGGTCTCCCAAGAGCATAAAAAGTCTAAAATGCCTTTAGCATTCACTTATTTCCTTTTGCAACTTTAATAAATAAATATATGTTTGAACATGACTGACCGATTATGCACTTTGGAAACGTAGGTGTGAGGAATGAAAAACTCTGTGCCACTTGAAGAACGAACCGTCAACATGCCATTATCTCTGTAACAGAAACAAACCCATTACAAACCCTGCATTCACTTCAGCTAATACTTACATACTTGTATGTCTAGAAAATTTTTTTACTTACTCTGATATAATGTTCAGGCTGTCTCCTAAAAATATAGTGTGCTCATCAGACCTTTGGGGTGGAAAGTTACACAAGGCTACCGCCATGTGCATGTGATTTCCTGATGCTAAAGTAAAACAGACACAGCTGAGGGAAATTTATACACAAACTAGATTTGAATGTGTTATTCACTTGTCGTCGAACAACATTAGGCCTAATGATAAATTTAAAAAATACACAGTAACATCTAATTGAGTAAAAGTGTTCATATATGGAAGTTTAATAGCATAATCATGCCCATACCTTCATCAGACATCACGACGGGGTCCTCCAGTCTGTAAGCAGCAGATCGATGCCAGAGTCTGCTTGTTAGACAGCCCATGTTTATTTTATGACCATGTCTGATAGATTTATGCACCGAAGCCCACTTGAAAACACAACTGAAGAAACAACACTGTACTTTAAAGTGTGTATAAGCTTCTTTACCTTTTACATACAAGCTTAACTAAAAAACAACACATACCTTCTGGAAAATATACTACAAAACAAACAAACAAATAATAATCATAATAAAGAATACAATAAATAAAAATAAATAAATAAAAAAAGCCACATATCCGAGCAATAATAAAAAAACTGCACACACCATATCAGAAAAACAAATAAATAATAAACATGAAGAATGAAAAATACAATAAATTTTAAATAAAATCAAAATAAAAAATGAAACTTTCATAGAAGAAAATAGGTATCTCCTAAACATTTAACCAGACCATATAAAAATACTTACTGTACTCTGTTTCAACTGTGTGCGAATATGCTGAAATTATAAGTTGATTTTCTTTGCCAACAATATGCAGTGGGCCATATAAAAGAGCATCCACTATAGAGATCCCATCACTAGATGAGTGCACAACGATGTTAATGCGACCTTCGTCCTCTGTTGTGCGTGTGAATTGAACTGTGTTCTCTTGAGTAGGAGTTGTGGTGAACAAACCAATATGCACATGAAATTTCCTGTGCTAATAGACTATACAAATCCGTAATCTTACTATAGTCAGCAATAAACTGTGTAATATAAGTTATAAATAAGTGTGCAAGATGCAGTTCCTTCAGTTACAGTAAATTTCATGGAATGGATATAGATATGTAGATTGCACATACTGTATGTGTGAAAGTTAAGCATATGCCATATCAATCATAAAGACAACTTTGTGTGTTGGTGATAAATTTGAGCTTCTAACATTTTCTTGGCACTGTAATATGCACCTTTTATTATTTTAAGAGGTTGTTAAAATAGTCTAACCACAACCTGAGGAAAAGGGTTGCTCGATGCGAGTACAGAAAAGTACATTTGTGGTCGGAAACTTTGCGACTTGATGATCTTCCATCTCCTATACCGTTGAGAAGTTTTTTTTTGAGTGATTCTGAAAATATTACTATTTTGAAAGCAAAAGTAAAAGTTATAAACGTTTAGTATTTATTAAAAATACGCCAGAAACGTTTTATTTTCCATGATCTAACTTTATTTAGTAATTGAGAATCAGTGGACAGTGACTTTGTCAGACACTATTTCATACTCATATTCATGTCTATGAAAGCTGTCATTCCATGTGTACATCAATTTATGTTTTGATTAACAATAATGTTAAAAAATGGTTAGGGAGTAAATGTATAAAAGAAAAACATGATTTTATGTCATACTAAATCCTTGCTACGTTGGCTTTGCATATTTAAAAGTGTTGTCCTAATGTAACTATAAAAAAAATGGTATTCCACTTCTTTTGTCTGATGAGTCATACAAAGTAATAGCTGACAGCTTTTAGTATAACCTATTAGAGTTTTTCATTTAAATGCAACAAAAGTCAGTACTTTTACATTCATAGGATGAACAGGAAAGTGGATTCAATGACAGAACACAACAGACATTTGTAACACAGTTAAACCGGGATGACAAATTAAACAATATCACACAGTGTAGCAAGAAAAGAGCACAAGAAAGGTCACAGGTCACACCATCAAACAAAAAAACACATGCATTAAAGTTTTAGTTTAAGTAAGAGTGGTTTAAAAAAAGGGAACCTTTTCACTCTAACAATCAAAAATGAGGTGGAATGTAATGCTAACAAATATAAAACAATTTAAATTAAAATGAAAGCCTGGTGGAAGAGCCTTCATGTGTAAATATATATTAGTATTTAATTTGATCTGCTTTTATTATTCAAATTTGGCTAGCGTATATTATTAACATGTAAATATTTAATATGCATACCTTCAGTATTTCATACATTTCATTCAAGCCTCCTCTGCCTCACTATTAAAGGGTTTAGAAACACATGGGAATCTAGGACACAAATAACAGGAGGTGATGGGTGAAAGGACAGCAGACAGCAGATTCTGAGCCCCGGGCTTTAGCAGGAGACCTCCATAGTTTGTGGCCTGCCCTGGTTGTCCAGGACTCCAGAGTTGGGTCCGTCCAGAGGGCTGTTCATGTTGCGGTTGCGTGAAGCATCCGTGGAAGTGATGCTGGACGAGGAGGATCGGGATCGAGACAGACGGGTCATGCCAGCCGCTGGTACTGTGAGATGAGAGAGAGATATGAGAATGTGATTACCTCAGTCTTCAGTATAATCGGGGATTGCAAGCAGAACGAAAGAACAAGCATCATGCAAGAGGAAACCAAACCGAGAATGTAATAATAGATAATCACAAGCTCATCTCGCGTCTGCCTACACAGAGTATAAATGTGTACACAGAAGCATTTCTGACAAAATGTAGACCTAGCAAACACAGCGTAAAGACACACACAAGCTAAACTAAAAAACAACAACACATACCTTTTGGAAAATAAAGAATACATTAAATAAAAAATTAAATCAATTAAAATGTTTTATATAATAATAATAATAAAATAAATCCACATACAACCAACACTAGAAACATCACATACCATAGTGGAAAAGATACCAAAGTATATAAATAAATAATAAAGATGAAGAATACTATAAGTTAAAAATTAAAACTTAAAAAAATAAAATAAAAATGAATAAATAAATAAAACGGGGTCTACACAGCTTACAAAATCTCATAAAACTTTAGTAATTGTAGTGACAGACCGATATGTTGACCAGGCCACATAATTTTTGCCATCTGTAACAGTGGTACTGAATCACTATATAGTTTAAAAACCTAACAACAGCTTTTTAAAATGGAAAATAGACGTTTTATGATTTTAACCAGTTTTATTGAAATGGTTTAAACATAACACATTTTTGATAAAAATAAAAGTGTGTATCGACTATTCACCACCCTGCTTTCTAGATATCTGCATAGGCCATCGAAAAACCCATATCGGTCGAAGCACTAAATATTACCATGGCAAATATCTACATGCAAATATGTCTAAACACAATCACAGAAGTGAACCATGCAAGCATGTATACATCAGTCATCAGTTAGATCACTTCCTGGGTACCTGATTCAGTGCCCAGATGGCTGAGCAAAACATGAGGAACTGTTTGCAAAGGTTGAAGGGACACAGAGAGAACAATAAGATATCTGTACAACACAGATTCTGGTACAAAAAAGTTAAGTATTTAATGGAAAAGCTTTCAGTATTTCTGAAAACAGGCCAGATACTGTTCAGAAACTGACTGTGGTCAGGGATGTCCATTTTAATATGTAACCTTGCAAGTTACAATCTCAACCCTGCAAATTGCCACTGTAAATCTTGCATGTGTTTTCAGCTTAAGTTTTAATGGCCTCTCCGCATGGGTCTTAAATCGCAAATCTTTTCTGCCTTGACATTTAACCACTGGAGCCTCATGCTGCATTTATGGCTCTTCGCCTACAGAGGGCGTCAAGAAGCAAAAAACATGCTCTTATATATCCTCAGATGATTATAAATATTTTTGGCACCTAAGCTAATTAAAGAGGTCATATAAATTTCTGTTTATTTTTCCCTTGAGATTCACAATGAAGTCCTCATTAAGTTCTTCATAACCATTATCAAGTTTCACTCTAACTTCCAGTTCATTGTCTGGGACCACCATGTACGGCTGCCACCCCCTAGTGGGGGTCATGATGAACTTCAATTTATTTACTTAAAAAAAAAAAGCACTTTTTGGACCTGTTTGGAAGTTTACTGTATGTTTTTGTAGCACAATGATCTCTCTAATTTCAAGACTGAGCAAAATTAGATTCCTCATGGCATGACCCCTTTAAAAACTCTCTAGAGCTTTAATGGCTTAATTTAAAAGCCTGGAATGAATGTTACAAGCATTATGCTCTTGAAAAGCCACTGTTGGTCCAACTCCTGTCATGATGTAAATTCCTGCCTGATTGGAACAAGGACTAAACAACAGTGCAGAAACGAAACAGCAAGTATCTTTGGAGGGGGAGGTACAGGGTCAGAGAGAGGGTGATATCTTTTCACACAGAGCGCTGGCAGCACATTGAGCGCTTTACTGGAGCGGCAAAACCTGTCAACAAATATGTGAGGAGGGCTCATTCAGAGAGCATTGCGATGTGGCGCACGTCTGTAGTTTGGAAGGAAAACTAATCAAAACACAGTGCGTGGGAAGACTTGCTGAGTTGTGTGCGGTAAAAAAGAAAGAAGGAAAGAACCAAAGACAGACTCCCTGAGCCGGATTTGTCTTAATAAAAGATGCCCATTAGTCATGGTGTTGTGCTGAATTGCTAATTAGCATAGCCTAGCGTCTGAGAAACACAGATAAACAGATTGCATGTTTATAGAGAAAGCTGACCCAGATTGCGCTGCAGATTAAACAAACATCTGAAGGCAGATTCACAGGTTAGAAAAAAGTCAAACGTTAAGGTAAACTGATAAAAATACTCACTGTATCCCATTCCCTGGACAAAGTATTTGAAGGCTTCGGCCAGCTTTCCAGGCTGTTGGGAGATTACAGGTCATTATTACATTATGTGTATGTTGGTGAAGATAATAGTAGGGGCATAGGTGTTTAATAAGATGTTTAATATCAAGAAATAATGATGGAACAAGACTAACCTGAACAACCTGAGGCAGACCGCCACAGTCAGCCATCTGACATAGAAAGAGAGAATAAAAATAATGTATATGGTGAATAGAGATACAAATAACACTGTGAAGAATGTGCAGTTCACAATGTACCATTTCAGGAGAGCAAAATGTTTAAAGAGGTAAATGCTGAAATTAGGGTTTTGCAAAATATCCATGTCATCTTACCTTCAGCAAAGTGGTCTTTGTTGGATTTAACCTAGAGTTGCATTCAACCTGTAATATAAAATATTCAACAGACTTATAATAGTGAAGGTCAGAGCAACAAAGAAGAAAAACTGACCTTGTACTTGGAAACTTACCACAGCCTCCACAGCAGGGGAAGTGTCTCCAACCACCAGCAGAGAAGGGCATCTGTACAGGAACAAGCAGTCGTTAAAAAAACAGTACACTATGACATGACATGACATGACATAAAATAAAATTCTTACGTCAGTGTCTTCACTGTATTCTCATTGAGACCGGCAACTGGCCTCTCGATTCCAAGGTCTTGACGCCTATTAAAACAATCCCCTAATTTAAAAGGTTTGCCAGCATAGGTAATAACCATTATAGACTATTTTTAATGAAATGCCACTCACGCATTGTATGAGCCACAGAAGAGGGCCAGGTTGTCCTGGTTGATGTCCTGGGCAATGTGCAGGCGGTATGTCTGAATCAGTTCTTGGTTGTCAGTCAGCTCCTCCTAATTGATCAGAATAACAAATGAAAAACATTGTGTTAAATGAGAAATAAAAGCCAGCTGGCTCTCATGGAGCTCACAAAGCATTATGGGATTGATTGATATAAAGTCAAAGGGGTTTACTCACAGTGCTGAAGTGATGAGCCATCACAATGTCCACGAGATTGCTAGTCCACCCAGTGAGCTAGAAGGGAATCAGAATAATATTGTTGTGGGGTTAATATCATAAATTGTGTGTTTTTTTAAATAATAATAATAATAATAATATTATACACACACACACACATAAACACATACACACACACACACACACACACAAACACATATTATAATTGTAATTACATATTATATTGTAATATACATATTGTTAAATATAAACATTTATATTATATTATATTAAATATGATGAAATGCTGTATATTCAGCTATAGAATTACAGAATCATCATGTTTGTTCAAATTGTTTACTGACCTTAGAAGCAGCCCAGTCTATCCAGCCCTCAGCGCAGGGGTCCACATTGATCAAAACCAGCCCCTCCACCAGGGACGGCTGATTCAGCTGCAGACAGAGCAAAGGATATAGTCTTTAATGAGGATGACATGTGGAGAGTGGTTTAAAAATGCATGTAGTCATGGTAGAAGAGGAGGTTTTAGCAGCTGGACTCAAAGCGTCTCTCTTCAGCACCCACTGCTGCTGCTGACTGTCACTGACATTAATCTTTCAGTGTATCAGTCTATACACACACATAGGCATAAAGGATGAGAGAGCAAGGCAAAGGGAATGACACAGGGCACTTAGCAATGAGTAAATGAGAAAAGAGAAGGGATCTATTATGGGTCGTCTTGCATAAAAAGAAATGCTGAATATATTAGGCTCGTGAGTGTGTCAGAGATATTTAGACTTTGATCAATAGCTTCATATGCTTGAGGCTGCAGTGCATGCAGTATAATAACAGTCCTGCATTCACAGCCTCTGGGGCCAATGCAGTTTTGCAGCACTATTTTGACTTAGCTCTAAAAGGGCAGGTGGGGATGATATAAAAATATGTGATATAGCTGTTTTGATATAGGCCTTGTACACGCAGTTAAGCTTTTGCTGGAAAATTATGCAGTGTTCAATTTTTTAGGTAGTTGCATTATAGATGTAAGACAAACAGTTATTTTTGTAATTTAAATGTGATTATTTCAATTATTATTATATTAAAATAAAAATTGTAAGAAAACATTTAATTTAAAATAAAGTAACAAAAATGTTATTCAAAAATATTTTGTAAACGGACCGGTGAAAATTTTGTAGGAAAAGTAAAATTTGAACTAGACATGACACAGCAGAAAAAAATCCTTCTTGTTGAGCCATGCAGAGGTACTTAATTTGCATATTGTAACATTACAACCCAGAGAGAGTTTAAAATACCTCTGTTGATAGAGTTAACTAATAATTTATCTCCAGTAGTTATTATTTCTTCTTAGCTAATGCCAAATGGGTTAAACTGTTGGCATCCATGTTCCCTGTTTACACCAGACGCCAAAATGTTGCTATGGTTATGCTGATGGGTTTGGGGTGGAATTCAGTATTCTGTACACACACAGAATACTAATTTAGGGGATTCAGTCCCGTAATAAAGAAAGGAAGAATGAGTAAGCGAGACAGAGACAGAGAGACACACAGACAGACAAGGCTTTAAGACAATAAAATCAAAGTGATGCGAAATGAAAAGCTGTAAACTGTCAAGAGAACTCACAGCAAAGCAGGTTAAGATGTACGCTCCTGCTCCCACACCAATGCCAATCACGCTGTTCACCCTGCAAACGGACACACACACATCCTGTCTCACCTTCAACAACTGCAGTATTTCATCAGAGAAATATTGTAATTCACTCAATCCATGTTCTGCCAGGATGAGTCCTACAGATACAGTGATGTCCTGCACACCGCAGGTTCACACACAGACCTCACTGATTGATGTGGTAGAATGTAATGTATTACTAATGGACCAGCTTGACTTTGTTACTCACTTCAGCTGAGTCAGGACTGAGGGTAACATCTCTGCCAGCTCATCCATGGTGGGGTATTGGTACCTGAAGATCAACAGACAGAAAAACAGGATTTAAGGGAATTTTGACAATGGCTGCATATATATAGTAGGCATGAAACAGTATGTGAATACAGCAGTATGTCCAAATTCACAGTATTCATAAAACTATAGGTGAAAAGTACTTGGATGACTTAATACTTTCAGCCAGATTCTGGGCACATCTAATGAACGATTATTATCCCATGAGGCCACGGGAGTGGATTTGTGAATGGCAGTGAAGCAACGCAACTGACATTGGTTGGTCACATGACATCGACAACATGGCGAATGTAGTACACTGCATTTATAATACACACATTTATACTATATAGTACTTTTTAACAGTGGCGAAGTAATAACTTATTCAAAAGAAGCACCTACTCAGAGTATTTAATGGCAATATTGCCTCATTGGTTGTGGAGATGTACTACTCACCCTGTGGGAAAGGGAGGAGCTCCCTCCTGCTGGCCAGGGGCGTCCACGTGCACAACGGCAAAGTGCTGAGTGATCTCCATCATGTCCTCAAAGTTAAACAGCGTGTTGAAGCAGGACTTGTCTGAAAACCAACCAAACACCGTCATCATCCAGTTCAGATTTATGACAAGTATAAAATTGGTTTGTCATTTGATTTTTTCACATACGGTTGAGGCCGATGTCATGGTAGGTCAGAATGACAGGACGGTTGCCTTTAGGGCTTCCTCTCATAGTCACATGGAGCACACCGTGGGGCGTCTCAATGTCATGCTCCTGGAACAAAGAACAAGAGTTCGAATACACAGATACAGACAATAAAATCTCTCCTTAAAACCTCCTCAAGCTGCCAGGAAATGCTTGAGGATTTACTATGCGACTAAGTGAGTGAAGTGTTGGTGCTGCTGCTTTCAGGAAGCACGTATTTGTGTAGTAAGTGATATCTCCCATGACGAGACTCAGGCAGATGGCTGTAGGATCAATAAAAAGATCTAGAGGGAAGGCCAAGCAGCTGCACAGAGTCACGATTCAGTTCCACCACACATCAGTACTGTTGCATTATGGGTATGTGCCTTAGAAATGTTTTTTCATTGCAATATACACTGATTTGAGCAGCTGGTTTATATATAGAATCCCTCAGCATTCAATTAACAATCGAAGACCAGTGAAATGATCATATGAATTTATCCAGTGACTCATATTCATTGCTTAGATTAAATCCATTGGCTTTATGTAAGTGATCTAAATCCAGAGCTCTAATGCTCTATTATAAATATACATCAAAATCGAAAGGATGAACCACAGACTCTTTATACTTTAATTTCACTCATCACCATCCAAATCTGTTTAGGAAGTAATCCAAAATCTGTAATACATCCTTCCAAGAGCCCAATTAGTGCAGTAATAATGTCGTTTTTTTTATCCTGCCATTAGATATAAAGGCAATCATACACACTCACATACTACACTACCATTCAAAAGTTTGGGCTCAGTAAAGATTGGTTTTTAAAAAGAAATACTACTTTTAATAAGCAAGGATGCATTAAATTGATTTCTATTTTAAAAATATCATCAAAGTTTACAGAGAAAAAAAAAAATCAGTTTCCACAAAAATATTAAGCAGCACAACTGTTTTTTTTTTTAAATTGATAAAAATAAGAAATGTTACCTGAGCACCAAATCAGCACATTAGAATTATTTCTGAAGGATCATGTGACACTGAAGACCGGAGAAATGGCTGCTGTAAATTTAGCCTTGCCTTCACAGGAATAAATTATATTTTAAAATATACATAAATAGCAAACAATTATTTAAAATTTTGATAATCATTTACAATCTCACTTTCAAAGATTTTTCTTTTTCAATAAATGCAGCCTTGGTGAGCATAAGGGTCTTCTTTCAAAAACATTAGTCTTACCGACACCAAACTTTTAAAATGGCAACATATGTGACAAGATGACCTCTAAACAGAAACACCTTCCTTAGATAAAATCAACAAAGCTACTGATGTGTACAGCGTCCGGATGCTTCTGGAGTCATCACAGGGAGTGGCTGCAGAACTGTGGAGAGTTACAATACCATCATCCTGACCGTATGACTTTGCAGAACTGTAACAGACTGCAGCCCTGAGTCTCAACAGTCCATTCGCTGAACTGTCTGAGTCATATTGTACAAAAAAATTAAAAAAGCAAAATCGCTGAAATCACACGAGGTTACTGGCAGTTTGCTTTTATTTATTTATTTTATTAATTTATTTTTGAGGTAAGTAGCAAGTAAACTAGAAGCTGTATATCACAATTTGCATGGACAGAAATTCTCATTAAAGTCGTAACATTTTCCGCCATTTTTACAGTGTGAGTCGGTCTATTATTTTTAATAATATATTTAAAATAACCCCACCCCTAAATGAAATGTAAAAACAAATCTTTACAGATTGGTCGCTTTGCATGTCAGGCATGTGATCACAATGTGCACACTGCCACAAATCAAAAGTCTGGCTATGTGAGACGGTGCCTTTCCTCACCATACAATCCTTTAAACCCAAATGGCCTAAACCAAGACGAAGCAGCCATATGCCTGAGAAATTAGAGAGATTCCTCTACAAGAGGAGAGATTTCTCTAAGAAAAACTAATTAAGATATTAATAACACACAAAAGGCGCACGGACAGAAAGTCTCAGATCAATTTCTGCTGACATAAAATTGAATTGTTTTAATGTTTTATTCACTCTCTATATTAACTGAGGGAGATAGGGCTGTTGTCAAGAGGAAAGACTGGTAATGTTGTCTTGGGCCTTGTGTTGAGGGGAGCCAACTACGGTCCTGGTGGTCCTGGATGGAGTGACATGTTCAGTGATGTATATACTGACGTCACAAGGTTGGACTATAGGTGTGTGTATGAATATATATATACACACTTAAGGGAGCACTTGTGTGTGTATGTGTGTGAGAGAGAATTGTGCACATCACAGCTTCCTCTGCATCAATAATAGAATGAGTCACAGCAGAGGGACACACAGAGATGAGATTAGAAAAATTAGCTTCTATTTCGAAACTCTTTATGTGAATTAAAGTCACATAATTGTGACTGGCTATTCTTTGCTAATATGATTGGGTTGATTATAATACCTTACTTGCTTTGTGGGCATCTCAAATGTTAAAGTCGGCATGAAATGGAAATTCATCCAGTCTCGTTTCTAAATGCATGTGACAGATCTTGTGAATGATTAATCCAAGCATATGTTTCATTAAAAAAAAATCTCTTAATTTTTAATTAAAATGTCATAACCAGATTTTTAGGTGAAAAGGGCAGACTTCTCTTTGGTGAAGTTTGCCGGACTTCTCCAATCATTTAGAAGCTTGCATTCAGATCAGGTCCTGGCTCTACATTTGTTTCTTTTTCAATATCTGTTTTACTGATATATTAATCATTATATGGAAGAGAATCTCTGTCGCTACTTTGGTTTCATCTCAACTTTTGTCAAACATTGACAAAATTCCGCAGACATACATAAAATGAAGACAAACCAAAAATATTGATGACTCATTCTGCACTACACAAATTTTGTCTGATCAAATGCTCTCTGGAGACCGTCCTGCAACTGCAAGTAACAAATCAAATTCATGTCTGTGATATTAACTAAAACCTGGCATTCATTAAATATATCCCATTCAAATTAAAATATGCTTAAATAGCAAATATATCAATACGGGAAAAATAAAACTGTGTCAAATGATTTTATGGGGTCTTTAATATAATACTTGCTTATCTCCATATGGGTAAAGATAAAAATGGGCAGTTTTTTTTCATAATTGAGTCGTGCATCCTAGAAGGCATTTTGACTGAATGAATGTCTGGTGTTTGCCTTTAAAATCAGTTGCACTGGAACGAATCCAAACATTTTCAGCTCTCGAGGACATGTACGATCAAGGCCAAAGAGTGGGAGAGTCTGAAATGTAACATTTAAAAAAAAAAGTCTCTCCTGTTCACTCTGCCAAACACACTCTCAATCTTCCAGACACATACACACACTTACACTCTGCACGTGGGTCTAGAAAGTGTGGGAGATACTGGAAAGAGGAGCAGAATAGGAATGAGCCCGAAAAAAGAAGACAAATTCAAAGAAACAAATAGTGATGTAATATCATGATCCCTGACTAGGTCAACAAACGGCTGTAGAAGGTGATCTAAAATCTGAAACCTACTCATTACAAACCATAAACGCACTAAAATATGATTTGATATCAAACGCTTGCATCATCTTCCTCTCTGTGCTCTTCAAAAGAGAAAATCGGACTAGGGAGCACTGAAACTGCAGCCTACTTGTCACGATCAAAAAATGCAGATTAAATATGATGTTGGTTTGACTAGTGAAATTCTTGGTATTTTCAACTGGGTAAAGATGTTTCCTACACCCAGACAGTGCTATACCAACTGACATTGAAGGAGACACATTTCGCCCAATATTTAAATTATTATTGGACTAATATGGGTTTTTAAATGGTTGATTCTTAAATAATTCCATTTAGTACCTCTGTATCCTGAATATGTGGCTATATTGTTGGTTGCAGACGTTTAAACATAAGGGAAATGACAATCAAAGCAGCTTTCTCTTGGGAAACAGAGGCGAAGCCAAGGTGAATGAATGAATGAATGAATACAAGCCAACAGTCTCAGTCTTTGCCCCCCACCCCCGCTCCCTAGCTAATAGCATCAATCACACACCACAAGCCTGAGAGCCATTACACAGCACTAACCCACTAACTATTACACACACACACACACACACAGATCCTAATACACACCATCCATACTAGAAACACACACAGTAAATACTCACTACCACACCCTGCTAGTAATGCTTGTGTTTTTAAGTGCTCCAAATGTCCTTGATTTGCTTGACCTATTAGACTGCTTGATGATCATTGGGAAGCGTGCCATATTTAAAAGATTGATTTTTTGGACAATTCCTCGACTGCACCAATTTATAATTTCAGTGACCATCATGTACATTTGAAGCCCCTGAACTAGAGATCTCTACAACTAACAGTTTAGTCTCAGAATGGTTTAATCTGTGGTAGGTAAACAAGCCAAGAGGCACATGACTTGCATGACTAATGCAATAAAACCCACATCCCTCATTGGAAAGAATCACATATACTGGCACATACATCAACCACGACATGCATGCACATGCAAACATTTCTGCAAGAATATCGATGCTAAAATACTCAGAAATCAGGATTCAGGAATCAGTCTTGGCTGTCAGTTGTAGCGGCCTCTCTTACACACACACACACACACTCACCACTGCATCTCCAGTGCACGCATTCTGCTCCACATCCAGAACGGTTGACATGTTTCCACACACGAGACAGTGACAGGTTCAGAGAGGAGACAGGAAGAGATGGGAGGATCCACGAGAGAAACACAGAGTGGCTGAAGGAGGGATGGAGGAGAACGGACAGGGAGAGCAGTAGCTAGGCAGAGATCCAAGAGGGAGGGGAGAGAGAGGAGGAGAGAGAGGGAGATAAATGAAGAGAGGAGGTATGTTTTGAGAGAGAGAGAGAGAGAGAGAGAGAAAGAGAGGGAGAGACGGTTGAGATGCAGAGTGGGGAGGAGAAAGAAGTGACTGCGGTTTGTGCTGGGGAGGCAGTGCTTGCTCATGCATACGGCAGCGCTAAAAGAGCCCTGCTCTGATTGGACGAGGGGGAGTCAGGTGGGCGGGAGGTGGCAGGAGCAGGGATGAGAGGGGTGGGGCAGACACAGAGAGGGTG